CTGCCTGGAGCGGCCGTATTTGCTCACACCAGCATTTTGTAGTAGCTCCGTGATATCGAATCCAAAAGAGTTAGCTGCCGGCCTTACTGCGTATAACATTGCATTTTTTCCTGCCGTATTCATTGCATTGTATTCAACGCGCCGTCGCGTCATCGCTAGAGCTAATCGTGAAGGCTATGATCCGCAAACTCGCGGTGCGGGTCAGGACGGTAGCACGTGATGCGTCGGCCTCCAGAGATCAGTTGTTTTCACCATGGTCGAGGAGAGCTTCCATCAGCGCCTAATTTGACATCCCACAGGTAGTGACGACCCGGCCGTTTGCATTCAAAAAGGGGGAAAAAAAAAAGCAAAGCTAAACGACGTTGGGGACCACACCATGCCCATGCAGTGAAACCATGAATGCGTGCACGGTATCGAAAATGAAGAGCGAACGACAGTGATGCCACGGGAAACTATTTGGTACAGCACTTTCCATATGCAGTGCAGCCCCACGTCACGCCTAATAAGAGCATGGCACTGCCAACACAAAAATAGGTTTCTTTTTTTGTGTTTTTGGTTCAGAGGAGGAGGGAGGGGAAGGACACATCTGCACATACGCTCGCGGCAGCAACGTCGCCTCTTGGGGCACAGGCCCGCCTCTCGCCGAGGTCACAAGTGCGCCGTGCCGGCCGCTTTGCGCTTTGTCGGCGGTGAGGCAACCACAAAAGATGCGTGTTCGTGACAAAATGAAAAAATACGAGGCAACATTCCCGATTCACCATGCAAATATTCGTTATATCAAAGACGTCTCCTGCTGTTACATAGAGGCCACAAATACATGTGCTTCTATGGGGTAATGGCAGGGAATATAACTTTTTGTATTGAGGAATTCGTAATACAAGTAAACCTCGTTTATAATGAGACGGGCTATAATGAAATAATGAATATAACGAGCAAATCCTAATTCCCCTTGAAAGTCTCCATACAAACCAATGTATTCAAAACCTCATTTTAATGAGGCAAAATTTGCCTGTTATGGGATATAACGAACAAATTTTGTTAGGAAGTAAAATTTTGAGCCGATGTCACGACAGTGCACAACGCCAATTTGAGACTGCGCGCAATGCGAGAACTGTATTTAGCAGTTCAAAACTCCCGCCACACGCCCTCCAGCAACGCGCGCAATGCAGACGGCACGCGCTATTTCCGGAGGAGAGGTCGCTGCACATGCGCCGCTTGGCTATCACCGACAGCGGAGTGCTCCGCGAATGTCTCGCTTTTTTCTTTTCTTTTGTGTCTTCTTTATATTCTCCCTCTCCTCTTTCTCATGGCACTGAGGTGCGCTTCGCAATCTTACATACCCCCTTCCCCTTGAGTAACCGTTTCCTAGAGGGCAGCGCAAAAGAGCGCCCCTTCTGCCCCTTCCTCTTCACAGTCACTTTTTCTGCAAGTGTTGTCGCTCGCCGACGTGAGCCGCGTTGCTTTTGCGTGCGTGTTTCTTCTCTTTTTCGACCGCTTCCGTCTTATCTTTTATCGTGCTGCGCTCGTGATTCCAGCAACATGAATGCGCCAGGCGGGAAGCGAAAGCGCATCACGCTAGATCAGAAGGCGGCTATGATAAGAGCCGTCGAATCGGGGACCAAGAAAGGCAACGTGGCAAGAGACTTTGGCGTATCGATGAGAACACTGTCAACCATCTTGAGCAAGCAGGAGTCCATCATCGACGCTGTTGCACGTGGCATGAAAGGAAGCGCTAATAGGATGAGGGCACCTGCCTTTGAAGCGGTTGAAAGGGCCGTTTTTAAATGGTTCTTGGACACGCGGGCTGTCAATCTGCTGGTGAGCGGCGCCTTGCTGCTAAGAAAAGCGAGAGACTTTGCCTGCATCATGGGCTATGACAACTTCGTAGCAAGTTCGGGTTGGCTCCAACGCTTCAAGGAGCGCCACGGCATTGTCGGGAGAGCGGTCTGCAGCGAATCGCAATCTGTCGACGAAGCAGAGGCTACCAAGTGGGCGAAAGAAAACATTGTGCGGGAGCTAGAAAAATACAGCACGGAGGATATTTTTAACGCGGACGAAACCGCTCTGTTTTTCAAGATGTTGCCGCACAAGACGTTAGCCCTCAAAGGCGAGCCGTGCCATGGCGGCAAACAAAGTAAGCTGCGGATCACTGCGCCACTTTGTGCAAACATGACCGGCTCTGAGAAGCTGCCAATTTTCGTAATTGGCAAAAGTGCATCCCCTCCCTGCTTTAAGGGGAAGAGGCAGCTCCCAGTCTAGTAGGTAGCCAATCGCAAAGCCTGGATGACCAGGGAGATTTTTTCAAAATGGCTTTGCGAACGGGACGAGAAGCTGGCAAAGGCGAACCGCAAGGTGTGCCTTGTTTTAGACAACTGTACCGCCCACCATACCGCTGCCGTGCTTCAAAACATCGAGTTGCTGTTCCTTCCTGCCAACTGCACAGCAAAAATACAGTCGTTGACCAAGGCGTGATTATGTCGCTGAAGGCAGGTTACCGCAAGCGTGTGATAGACAAGCTCCTGCTCAACATGAGGATGAAGCGAGACACCGATGTTGACTTGTACGCTGCGATCGAAATGCTTCAGGCGGCGTGGATGAGTGTGACGGCAACCACGATCACAAACTACTTTCGACACGCCTCATTTGCCGCCGCACCAGACGCCAGCGATGAGCCATCAGACGAGCCCACTGTACCGGACGGTTTTGCCACATCAGACGAAGTCGCTGCATTATGGACGGCACTTCGTGACGCCGGTGTCGTGCCTGACAGCGAGTCGTTTTGCGACTATGTGAGTGCGGACTCAGAAGCGGTGGCAACGGAGCAGCTCCTGGATGACGATATTGTGCGCGCTGTCAGTGATCGTAATGAAACCAGTGACGACTCTGTCGACGAACAGGAGACAAACGTGCCGACGGCGTTGGAGGAATTAGACGTGGTGGACGTACTGCGTTGCTACTTCGGCGCTCACGAGGGCGGCGAAGATGGCTTGAACATTGCGGCCGCAGCTGAGCAAGCCACCGTTCGCATCAGGAAGATGCATCAACGTCCAATTACGGACTTCTTTGCAGCTAAGTCTGCCTGAAATGCAAGCTGTGTATTTTGAAGTGCATTAAAACAAGTGCACGACTTTTTCCTTTTTATTTGGGAATGCGGTTACTTTGTTGCATACCACCGTGCGGCGGGATGCTATTTCGCCCGCTATTATTTTGGGTTAAGTACAGTGCATAATATTTGCGGCAAATGCCGCTACAGCTATAACGAAATATTGGTTATAACGAGCAAATAGCGGCGGCCCTCCGATTTCGTTATAACGAGGTTTAACTGTATAGAGGTTCGTTATAAGCAGGTTTAACTGTAATTTAAATTATTTTATAGAATTGCGCTTTCTTCTACAAAAGACCTTACATGAAACTGTCTGCAAAAAGCAGTCACTTAACATATTTGGAAAATAAAGTAGTACACAATGATTTCAGAAATGCTGAGATATGCCTGTTTACTCAGATCATATCTACAACAATGGTCGTCAGGGATTATGTAGTCGTATACACTGATTTGTGTGAAATAATGGTCTGCTCTGCCGCTGTGTCACAGTGATAGCATAATGTGGGAGCAGCACTGATATAAGTGATTCTAAAAGAAGCGCTGGAGAGTTGTAATAAATTTTTTTGACGGTGCACTCAGTGACACGACCCAAGTAATAAATAAATATCCATTGCCTCCATGAGGTGACTACCGGTCTCACACGTCATGCCCACTTACATGTAATCAACTGCATGAAAAATTAATTTACGAGGTGGCTATCTTAACTGGTACTTACGAGCGCATCAGCAATGCTGCTACGATGCTGCATGGAGACAGGATGTGACAGCAACAATCAAGAATTTCTGCACATACCTCAACAGCACTCAACCTCAATAATCTTGGTGAAATGAAGCACCTAAGTTACTGCGAAAAAAACATGAAACTAAACAACGTGGTGAGTGAACAAGCACACGAGGAACAGACAAAAGCTGTAGTGGTAGTCTATAGAGGCCATCGCATTTGAGATATCTTGTGAAACTCGACACTGCACGTGAGGCTTGGCACACGAGTAAAAGGGCTGTTCGCAGATACGTGGATGCGTTCGAAACAAACAACCCTGGAGGAGAAACCCCCATATCTCTTAATATAATCGCCCATGAACAACTCAATATAATAATGTAAATGTGGTGTCTTGACATCTCAAGATCATGACGTGATTATGCGGCAATAAGTTTGCCGTACCTAAGCAGAAGCGTGTTCTTGCACTTCACACCCGTCGTAATGCGGCTGCCGTCGCCCGGAATGGAATCCATCATTGGGGTTAGCTGCGTGACACAGACCTGTTCATCCCTTTCATATTAGGGTATGACCGAGCGTGTGCACCATTGGTGATTGCACAGAAGCAAAAGCAAACTTTTTATTATTTTTACAAGGAACATTTCTTATTCGGTTTTCGTCATTTATCTGCAGCTTGAGATAAGCAAACCAAGCGATTGCAAACAGCAGAACAGCGCATGAAGTGAGCGAGTGTTATGTAGGCGTGCCACAGCGGGCATCAAAAGTCCGCGTCGTGACGTCACCCAGGCCTCCCACCAGGTGGCGGCACCCAACTTCTTAGGGCTAATAGCGGTATGTAACCAAAAAGCGGGTAGCCTTGAATGATTCCTCTTCTCCTGGTCAACCATACCAGCATGTACCGCTGGTAGCATGTGTGCAGTCTCCGGGACTGAGACAGCATGCCACTACAGTCTATGAGGTCATGCACACATGCATGTTTTTAATATTTAGTGCCAGTTTTTTCAAATTTTCACGCTCCAAAATGAGGTGCTGGCTTTACGCAAGTAGATACGGTAGCTACGTGCACATAATAGAAGCACATACTTGCGTGGTTTTCAAAATATTATTGTGCTCTAACACTGAAGAAAAGTAACAATGGTCTTTCAAAATAAAAGGGGGAAGGAAGCAGCGCCGTACTTACCATCGGCCAGCACACGCTGGTTGGCCTGGAGCACCAGCTGCTCGGCACGGTGCTTGGTCTCGGCATAGGGACCCATCAGGAAGTGCTTCGGCGTGAAGGTGGTGTTCTCCGCTCCAAAGAAGATGTGGTTGCTGCTCACGACCACGTCCACCGTGCTCGTGAACACCAAGTAGGGTACGTTTTGCCGAATGCAGGCGTCGATGACTGTCCGCGTACCTACGGCAGATGGCATCAAGAGAGACTTCTGAAATCTCCGGCAACCGTATCAAGGTCACATTCATAGCAGTCATAATGCACGCATGTAGAGCTAACATTGAATGTTAACAAACCTCATGATCCGATAAAAAGCTTTATGGTCTGTGCTGTTGCGTGAAAGACACAAACTTAGCAGAAATATGTGTAGATGTACAGTCATAGACTGCCCCAATATTAATGTTACAACACGTCAGACCTACCTCTACCATAATAGCCCATTAACTATATGCTGACTTCAATGTTGCTGGCTAAATCTAATGAATGTCAGTGCAAAAGTAATTATAGCATGGCAGCATCACATTGCACTGCAACAGTAAATAACTGCATGCCACGGCAACCACTGCAGAAGAATGCGAAGAGTGCGAGCAAGGAATCTGAACAAGAACACTACTGCAACCACTTCAATCACTCTCCTTTTGTAGAAAGGATGAAAAGTCAGCAAATAAGCTCAGCGTGCTGCAGTTACACCCCGAAAGATACGTTTGCAAGCCAAACAACTTAGCTTAGCTGTTATTACTCGTAGCCTCAATCAGATTATCAGAGCCATGTCTGACATCTGAGAATAAGTGCAATTAATGTGCATCACCAACATGCACCACCTTTTAGTGACACTGCACCGTAACCACTGCTTTCAAAACACGCCAAAGAAAGACACATAAATCAAGCTGGTGTTCTGTTTTTCCGTTTCTATGCAGTGTTTCAACTTGTGGCCATCTAAGCATAATTCTGGCGGAGCAGATGCGAGCAATGGTTCTTGTGAAGCTAATGCACAACGTTTGAAGGGAATGCAATAGCCAATAGTGTTATCTACTGATTTCCAGAGTCACACACTTTGCTGAGCAGAGCAGAACTTGAGACGTACATTAACAAAGCAGCTCTTTGCTGCAAGGAGAGTGTCCAGTCATAACAAGTCACATTCTGGGAAAAATGACAGCGGCAAGTGCAATTGGCAACTGTTGATATCTTATCTATGTGCGACACACTCGGACTCTTTTTACAGGTACTGTCCTAAGTTCTAGCATATAACTGCTAGTGCTAGAACACGTTATAGAATGTACATGGCTGCTGGTTCCATGCAAGCAATCAGATTGGAATCACCAATAACATTTCGGAAGCTTCGAACACATAAGTGAGCATCTTGCACTGAGCAAACATCTTAACGGCTGGCTGGGCACTGACAGACAGTAGTTAACAAAAATATTAAAAATGTACAAGCGTCAGCATTTCACTTCTGAGCAGCATTTTACCTTCAACGTTAACAGCTTCCATGGCTTCTGCATCAGGGAAGATGGTGCAGTCCACCAGGGCAGCAGTGTGGATAACACAGTCGACGCCTGCAAATGCTTCCTGCACCGCCTTGGCATTGCAGATGTCACCCACGGTGGCCTTCATGGGCTTCTCGGTGCTGTGTTCTGCAGTAACGCGTAGAACACTTGAACTCCGGCAAACCTGAACTAATATGTCCAGATTTGCAATACTCCTCTAAGCATAATGTGACCTCCCTTTTGTCTAACTGCTAGTTTTAAAAGCATGATGCGCACGTCATACATTCAAGCTAACTCGGATGAATGACTTCGGCAAATTTTCGTTAAGCAGATTATATTCCTTGCTTCACTTGGTACTGAATATGCCTGCATTCTTACCATGTATTGAAATGCCTCACTCTTTCTCACAATCTACTTGGAGCTGTATACAACTCCTGCTGCACACAGACCAGCAGGAAGACTACAAAAGTTTAACGACAGCGGCACCTGTGTGATGTCTGTATTACACAGCTGTTGTACTGACTGAAAGATGTGATTACACTAAATTACATGGTTAATTAACCTGACACTGCAGAGTGGCTCATTACCCTAAGGTGCTGTAGGCTCCAGAATAATTTTGCCACATGCGATTCTTCAACGTGCACCCTAAAAAGATATTCTACAAGTGAGAACTATGGCATTATTATTATTATTATTATTAACGGAATGTGGCTGCTGCTGGTACATAGCACCAATAACTTCAACAGCAGATTTCAAAGGAACGCCACCTTGATTTAGACCTTCAGCAATACTTTGGTCTTTCTAACATACTTACAATTTAAACACAAGTGCACATGCCTACAGTGCTTTGAAAACTAGACAGGATATCACGTCCTTAATCTTGAAAGGCACTGCTATACAGACACTGCTATACAGACGACCTTCCGAGGCAATAAAAGGAGAAGCTACGCAAACAAAGTGCACAGAAGAGCACACCTAATGAATGTGCCGTTTTCTAGTCTAGGTTAGCTTAAGCTAGAGAAGACAAAACATCAGCACCTTATTTAACAGCAAAAAATAAAGCAAAAATGAACAACTAAGCACTGAATTGGACATAGGTAGTGGCCTGCTTTTTTCTTCCACATTTGCATTAATTCTACACAGTCACAAGTGCAAGCTATGCTGATTAAGACCCTCTTTCAGGAAATTGAAGGCAATTCTTCAATGTTGCCAGAATGCTTGTACATAGGCTCACCCCCAGGAGCTTTCTCTCTTTGACACATAACACTGCCCTTATGTACGAAAGCAATATAGAGTATCTCTACAAATGTACGATAGGTTTCCTGTCAAGGTCCAACTCTTGGTACCATATGTAGTAAGCTCAGAGACGTTTGTATCGTTCCACACATCCACTCTAGAACACGCAGGAAAAGCGAAGAGCTCACGTGTTTATCGGCTTCTTCGCATACCCTTTCAAGAGTTCTACATGCATGCTTTATGAGAACTGTGGAAGTTAAGTGGGGTAATATATTTAAACCTGCCCCGCCGCGGTGGTCTAGTGGCTAAGGTACTCGGCTGCTGACCCGCAGGGCGCGGGTTCGAATCCCGGCTGCGGCGGCTGCATTTCCGATGGAGGCGGAAATGTTGTAGGCCCGTGTGCTCAGATTTGGGTGCACGTTAAAGAACCCCAGGTGGTCTAAATTTCCAGAGCCCTCCACTACGGCGTCTCTCATAATCATATAGTGGTTTTGGGACGTTAAACCCCAAATATCAATCAATATCAATATATTTAAACCTCGTTACAACATAGTTTTACCTGGCACAACAATACTTGGTTATATCCGAAAATTCATTATAGACATGTATTTGCAACACTGTATATGACAGAGCTATTCATTTACTTCATTATAACCGATAATTTGTTATATCGAAGTTTCAGTGTAAACAGTGAATGGCACTCACTCAGTTTGTTCTCATAGGGCTTGATGTCAAAGAGGCGAATCTCCTTGACGTTCTTGTCTAGCTCCTGCAGCAGCTTGACCACGTGCTGGCCCAGGAAGCCGCTTGAACCAGTCACAAGCACCACCTCCACTTTGCGCTTGTCCCTAATTGGTCAGGCAGAATGGCATCTCACTACTTGTCACCTCAAAACCACTTTTGTTACAAAAGCAGAGATTAACACACTGTTCTTCATGTATGAGAAACAAAAGGTGAGAACTTCATTGAGCAACTGATCGCACTGGCAGATATTGACCAAGTAGCTCCACCATGCGCTACTTGGGCAGCAGAGACAGAGGAGAAAAAGAAACAGTGCAAGTACTCGAGGCAGAGTAGAGTTGCCACTAGTTAAGAGGAAAAGATTTCAATCAAGCCAGTCCGGCAGGTGGGCATACAAATCGTATGACGGGGCACTGCACGAAGAAGGCCGCATAGGCTTAATAGGTGAGCTATGAATAGGTGCGAGTACGAGTCTCCGAGCTTGTTCATGGTGTGCTTCCATATTTCAGTGAAGTCATGCAAAACACAACAACACTGGCATTTTTCTTTTAAAAGGGGGGGTGTGTCAGATAAACACTTTAGAAAGCAGGTCACATAATCAATGAGCCTGTATTTTTCATAAAAAAAAAGTATGAAGGTTTTCAAGGAAAGAAAACAGTTTTGAGAACTTATGAGGGCTTTGAAAATGTACTTTTGAATTTTAACGGTTTTCAAGGACATATATACGCCCGCTGTTACAACAGCACTTGCCAGCGTACATATACACAGCATTGCCGAATAGCACACAGGGACACAGGTGAGTGAGGCAACAAAAGGGGCTTGAAAAAAAAAAAGAGAGAGAGAGAGAGAAAAGAAAGATACAAAACAGCGCCTATATACATATCCCCTTGAAACATTAATTTGAATAAGCTCTAACTGTTGCACTCACACCTTATAAACATACAGCATTCAGCCACATTCATGTGCCATTGGGAAAACCAGAAAAGCCTCAGTTACCTGGAATTTTTATTTGAAACCCCTGGAAAATTTCCCGCATGAACAAACAGCATACATAAAGTATAACTGAACCCCCCCCCCCCCCCCCCCCCAAAATAAAATTTCTGGCTGTGCCACTGCTTAGTGTGGTGCAAACTCTACTTTACTGGTGCCCGAGCTGTCCTAATGCTGTTGCTGTAATAAAAGTGACCAATAGATGTAAAGCAATACCAGCGAGCCACTGTTTCACCGTTGCATATGAAAATATTAGCAAAGTAACATGCAAGAAAAATATGTGAAGTTTCAATATTCAGAGGCCTAAACAATAGCCTGAGCACCAACATTAGTATGGAAACTACCTTGATGTTGCTATTACTATACTCTAAGCATCAAGACAAAAACTACCACCTTTCACTAGCAAAGGAGAATATTCTGTCTCTCTCTCTCTCTCTCTCTCACACACACACACACACACACACACACACGCACACACACACACACACACACACACACACACACACACACACAAGTGAATGTATGATGCAGTTGAACTACAGCTAAAAAGCTAACTTGGCAATGTCACAAAAACAACAACATCAATGATGTTAAAAGTAGAACTCCCAGGTTTTATGTGCCAAAACCATAATGAGGCACACCACAGAGGAAGGTTTGAGATTTACTTTATTGGTCTTTTTTTTTATTTGCATGTAGAAATAAGCACACAGGCATTTTCGCATTTTGCTCGTATTGAGACATGGTCTCCTGGGGAAGGAGTCAAGCCCGTGACCTGGTGAAATGTACAAGAGCACCATATCCGCTAAGGTGCTACGTCAGGCAGCACAAACGGAACTGGAACAGTGGCAAACTACTTCGCAACCTCTTCGACATTGCCAATGCTGTCTCGCACAGGCATGGCTGACAAAAGTTCTCAATGGAACCCCTGTTTCGCTTTATACACCTTGTAAATTCAAGTTATGAATGTAGTGAGTGCCCCTTTCATTTGCACGCATCAGCAGACATGCATTACGCAACCTTGAATGATGACGACCAGCGCAATTGAAGCCATTTAAGCACCCATGCACTAAAGCAAAAAGAACAGGCACAATAGACATTCGCTGGATATTTGTGCAAAGGCGATATGAAGCATGAAGGTGATTACAGATTGCTTGCACAACTCTGGAAGGTAAGCAACCCCTGACAAAAACTCGCTCACCTACAAGTGCTTTGTCTTGTTACTGCAAGCATACTGCGTAACTAAAACAAATGAAAAAGTACATCGGCTGGGTTATTTGCAGGTTTTCATTTTTATTTTTGTTCACTTGCCATGCTTGTACCTGTGCTGTTCTTTCTGTTGATGCGTGATTAAAAGATGTCTACTTTTACTCGTTCTCTTCGTCACTAAAACCACAGCCTAAATATATAAACGCACCTCTCGTTTCGTAATAAAGCTCAGTTGGTGCTTGCCTGCGTCCCTCCTATTCTCATCCCTCGTGTTTGCTTCCGCGCTATCACGTTTCTGTTCCTACTAGTCCATTGCTGTGCAACTAGAGGGCCATTCCACCACAAGTGTGATGACTTCTGTGCTGCCTATTTCTATCGAGTCGAGGGGGGGAAACAAAAAGAAAAGCTAATTTCCAGATGCTTCAATGAAGAGGTTCCCTTTTTTTTTATTCCTTTCCGCCTGCAAGGCAGGCTTACTGAAACCCAAGAAACCAATTCCATAAGCAGAATGCTAATGATAGAAGAGTGGGCTGCCACCTTTTGTATGTTAATAACTGGCACGACAACTGAGTTCACAAACGAGGGGAATTTCTAATGACACACATAGGTTGCTTGCCACATCGAATAAGACCACGAAGGACGATGCAACTTGCGTCACGAAACTTGGACGTCAAAAAAAAAAAAAAAAGTGATAAAGAAAGTGATTATGTAGTGCTGGGTTTTTCTTTTCCATGAGGGTATGAATCGCTTTTCTCTTTCATCTCCTTTTGAAAGGCCGAGATCGAGAGTGCTACAGATGCACTAACAATGCAGAGACCACCTATAACTGCTTTTTGTTCTTTCTGGGCATGCCTAGACCTCAAAAGGCAAATGACTTTCTTGTCCCATCACCCAGCTTGCCCTACCTATATAAAAAAAATAAATATAAATATTATAAATCACTAGGTTTCCCCCCCCCCCTTTAATGTACACTAGAATTATCTAAGGCTTGGGTTCAAGCTAGTTGTATTCCCATGTTTAGAATTATAGCACTGCAGTGACAGGTTGAAACAGACACTGGAAAGTGAAACAAGCTCGGATGGTCTGCATATTCTACATCCAAACTTTCAATTTTGCGTGCACTGCATTGAAATTGCAAGTAGAATCGTGCACCTCTTTACCTCTTTCTCCTTATCTGAGCCATGGCTTCTCAAGAACTTGGGATGTACTCTCATGATAATAATAATAATGACCAAAATAGTGAGAATTTCAATGTTTGTTTCAGACGCAGAAGGCCCAAAAGAAGAAAAATGAAAAAACTAGAGTAGCCAAGAATGGTTCGGGTAAGTTGAACGAATGACTAACAGCATGCGCACTACTTGCATCATAACGTTTCATTCCGCAGAGTGCAAGAGCGTTTGTGCATAACCTTCCGTACACCAGCTATGAAGAATTGCTTGTATGTCCATCAAATTTATACATTATTTCAAAGCACTTAATACGGTGTTAAAAAAATCATGTCAATATGTTGATATATGCATTTTACTGTGATTGATATAAATTAAGTAGTAATTGAATATCTACTTACTATGAAGTAACATATCTTCTGTTTTTGCATAAATAAAATCGAATCTCCAGCTAAACAGGGCAAGTTAATTTTAAGTTATGTTCATTTTGAGCAAAGAAAAGCAATACTTCTGATGTGGCTCGTGGTAGCGGGCATGCTGAATGGTTGATGATTGATATGTGGGGTTTAACGTCCCAAAACCACTATATGATTATGAGAGACGCCGTAGTGGAGGGCTCCGGAAATTTGGACCACCTGGGGTTCTTTAACGTGCACCCAAATCTGAGCACACAGGCCTACAACATTTCCGCCTCCATCGGAAATGCAGCCGCCGCAGCCGGGATTCGAACCCGCGCCCTGCGGGTCAGCAGCCGAGTACCTTAGCCACTAGACCACCGCGGCGGGGCGGGCATGCTGAATGACTCATTGAACACGGTAGTGCTTTCAGTAAGGCAATCATATGCAGCAGTATACTGCGAATGAAACTAAACTAGGTCGCACTTTAGAGGCAGAAGGTTCAAATTATCCAAACCTCAATGTGTTTTGCTCTTTATAAGCCACTAGTCGATGAAACTAGCAAAAACGTGGTACACGCAATTACGTACGAAGTGTTTCAAAGGGCCAACAAAGACGGCCATACTCATCAGGTGGATCGCACACAACAGCTACTAGTTCAACTCCAATTGCTGTGCAACAGATGGACATCTACAGCTTTTCCCACTGATGTTAATCTTTCACATCTGAATGAAGATGTGGTGCAAGCTTTCGTTTACTCCACGCATTGACAGGCAAGGCAAGCAGTGTGTCTCAAGCAAATCAAGCAGTACGTATTGGAAAAAAAAAAAGATGTACATTGACCGTTTGAAAAACCTGAGCTGTCCAACAAAATTATTCACATGAATAGATCTGAATAAAAAGGCCACCACAGAAAATGTTCAGTAGTGACAAAACTGCAACATTGGGCAACCAAGGCCATGCGTTGCCATCCCTCATCAGAGAAAAGGCACAAGCCGCATTGGTCTTACATAAAAAAAAGAAAATGCTACCGTAAAGCAGCCATTTATACGATAAGAACGTGAATAACTAATATCTGTAGAGGCTAAGGCCACAGAAGTGTTATCCGTGAGCCCACATTCAAGAGACTCTTCCTGAAGAACGGAAGCCAAGTGATATGCAGATGAATGTGCATCTGTCAACACACACAAAAAAAAATGGTTGCATCAGCGGCGGGCGGTACTTATAGGATAACTGTACTTGAGAGCTCAAGCATACAATGCCCATAATATAAACATAATGATACAGTGGTAAATTATCAATTGGCCAGGTTGCTACAAATAAAAAAAAGAAAAATTAACATAAGTATATTATTTTAGGGATAGAGCAGTACAACCACTTATCGTGTGTTTTGAAGATCACATAAGCAAAGTTTATAGCATGAAAACTATGTGAAATCAATTAAGTACTAACCATTGTGTATTTTTTGATGCCTAGAACAGTTATATTTTACACTGCTCGCACTAAGTTTAAATATAAATATAAGCATACAGAAGGTAACACATACAAACCCTTCATTCAATGTTCGACCGGGGCCTGGCCTTCACTATAGTACTATATATATTTTAATATGTCAACTTGCGATATCATTACACAACTCTGTCTTTATGAGTAAATCAAAGTTTGCAATTATGCATAATTATTACGGAACACTATGACCACACAGCGATATAACAAAACACCTGCTGCTTGTTCTTTTGCAAAAGTCCGAATACTTAGGAGTACCGCAAAAAGCATTATTAGAAATAATTATGCACACTGCCTTAATTTGATGAAATATGCTTGCACATTAAACACAATTTATTGCACGAAGAAATGCACGTTTCATGAATCGTTGCATTGTGAGAATGCACGGCGCTGTGAAGGCAGTAACTTTTAACACCGTACATATGGTGTGAGACAGCTCAGCTGACATTAGAGGCGTGCGTGCATTAAGCATTTACTGTTCTTGTTTTGTCCCTGCAACATGAGTGTAAACTGGGCGCTGTGCTCAACCACCTGTTTTCAACTTGTGCAGCTATAAACGTGCGCACACTTACTTATGCATATAGTAAATATACATAAACAATTTTATTATACAGTGCATTAGTTTAGCATTTTAGTTACACTTTCCATGCGACCTGCCGTGGTGGTCTAGTGGCCACTGCACTCGGCTGCTGACCCGAAGTCGTGGGTTCGTATCCCGACCGCAGCGTTTTCGATAGAGGCAAAAATGCTTGAGGCCAGTGTGCTTAGATTTAGGTGCACATTAAAAACCCCCAGGTGGTTAAAATTTCTGGAGACGTCCACTGCGGTGCCTCTCATAATCACTTACGTGATGACACGCAAAACGTGTATTGTATATATATTTTATTTTACTTTGTTTGCCATATGTTTCTGATCATACTTACACTTGCATTAAAATTGAATTGCCTTGCACAAAATATTATTTTCGGTAAATTTTATCATTTTGATGTTGCTTTATTTACTCATTATGTAATTTATTTTATGTATCCCACTCTCCGCAGTAAAGCCGTGTCCAGTTCAGGGTAAAATAGATGAAATATTTGTTTTGGGACACTAAACCCCAACAATTATTGCACCTTCTATGTGAGTTTACCGACTGTACAAAAAGCAAGCATTACCTGTTGAACTTCCCCTACTCATCTGCCATTTCATCATCCGCTTTTATAAGCTTCAATGCTCTCGCAATAGTTATGCAATAAAACGTGGACCCTCTTCTTTTTCGCACAGAATGCTCTGTTCAACACAAGAAAAAAAAACTTTTTTTTGCAACATACTCAAGTATGTTGCAATAAAAATGGTTGTCTCAAGTACATAATGTGGGCCTGCTTTGAGCAACCAATGGTCATGGAGTTTCTTGCTAAGATCACTACAGAACTCTAAGGCAGTGGTGTTTAATATAGCCCAACCATGATCTTTAATGGTTTGTCCAACTTTGGCATATGTTATTTCAAATGTTCACGAAGCTTCGCTTGCACCACCACATAATATAATCTGCCTTTAATGTCTCAAATTTTGAAGCAGCCCCGTGATATAGGAGCGCCTAAGGCAAGAAAACTGTGCACAGAATGGAGCATTGCAAAATGCTCCATTTATAAAGCAAGCTTCTGCAGAATAACTAAGTCACTTAGAGCTAGAATGACAAAGCAGACACATATCCATGGGCGAACACAATTTTCACATTGCTACTAGTGCCCGAGTTAGTGCTCGTAATTCTTGCAGGAAACTTCCCGCCTCTGACCAGAATGCAATCTGTCAACGACTGCGAACGCTGCCCCTTGATTATCAGTTTTTTTCTTGGAAGAGTACTCATTTTGCTTGGATAACGGTGAGCATGCAGAGGGGTGTGAGAATTACTCACGCCGAAGGTGCTGCCCACGGGGAGTCCACATCTTCGAGCTCCGGGCTCTCATTGCCATTGGTGCTACTGCGCTCTGGATCAAACGACATCTTCCTTCAACCTGCCAACACAACAGCACAAGTTCGGCTATAACAGTTGTATCGTATGTTTCGAATTCTCATCATTAAAATGTATATACATCCCAGCAGGTCTAATATATGTTATAGACGAAAAATGGTACAGGCTAATATGCACATTGGTTTCAGAAAAGATCTGGTGCATGTATACAGCTGAAAGTTGGGGAAGACAAAAATGAATGAAGTTCTGAATATGCTACTGTGCTTGCCCGGGGCATAGGCAGAATTTTTTTTCTTGGGAAAGGGAGGGGGGCAAGTCCTTGATATGAAGTGGGAGCTGGTCAGGCAGATGTGGTCGAGTCATTTTGTGCTATGGCAAAAAAAGAAAGAGGGGGGGGGGGGGGGCGCCTTGGCTACGCCACTCGTACATGCTGAACGTGAGCGAAGTAGAATACAATATATGATGATACAACCATCGCAAGACGTTGCGAATAAACGCGCACTCAATAAATAAACGGAAACACAGCGTCAAGGCACGCGACATCATCATGAACGGCTGTCAAGCAATGCACAGCTTGTCACGGCTTCGTCGAGGATGCACATGGGATAATGACAGCCCCGTTAGAAGGTTGCGCGATTTTTCCACTCACGGCTCGTTTCCTCGTCGCGGTCTCGCAAAACTGCGCAGGGAAGCGACCAATCGCGTCGCACGCAGCGGACAGAATGGTGGTGGTAGTGATTAGAATGAAGAGGAAAAAGGCACCTAATTTCTGTCTGCCTTCAGGCGACACGGCGCAGTGCCTTATAGGGGTGGGGGGAAGGAGGGATAAAAATTTTTCTTTTTACCTCGCGGCGTTTCTCCCGCCCGTTGTCGCAAGGATTTGGCGGCGCGCTCTTTCTTAGCGCTCGTTCTGTGACAGCCGGTCTCATAAGGAACCCTCCTAAAACAGTCGCCGAATTTACTGAAGAAGCGCACACCATAGAAAGGACCCTGGACGCCCTGACTCGGCAATACAACCGCCCGTTTCAGCTCAGCTCGCTCTACTCGGAACCGATTCGAGGTGGGCTAACCACAAACGATCTGCGGGAAGCTATTTGAGAAGTGGTTAAGGAAGAACTACGCCGATTGCTACCTCCTACCCCCCAGCCCCCCCAAGGAGCATCTCTCTTGGACATAGTGCGTGATGAAGTCCAGCAGGCGCTTGGCTCTTCATCAGCGACGACTCGAACCGAGGCCGAAGCAATGACTTACGCCGCTGCAGTGAACACTAGGCCACCCCGACGAAACGAGCCCAGTCCTCGACGGTATGCTGCAGCCCCAAGTAGCCGTCCGCCCTTACCCGCCCACCCTACATACGAGAGACGCCCGAGCCAAAGAAAATGTGACACCTGGAGAACTCCCGACGACCGTCCCCTATGCTTTCACTGCGGTGAGGCCGGCCACATTCTTCGACACTGCCCCTACAGGCGGATGAGACTGCATGGCTTCTCATCTCAGGCACCACGGCCACGCCCTGGACAACGACCTCCGGCAATCGAAGACTACTTGCGCCATACAGAGTACTTGTCCAGCCGTTCTCCATCACCGCCATCCCTAAGCTTCACGTCACCGAACCGCAGCAACAACGAACGAAGAAGGTCCCCAAGCCCCCGTAGGGGAAACTAAAACCAGCAACCTTTGGAGGTGAGGTTGCTTCAAGAGGAAAAGCTGAAGACCCTCCACCGACGACCATATATGACGACAGCACATCATCTAGGACGACGACAACGCACAACAACCCAAGCCGCGAGACGAAGCAAAACGTAGCAACAAGACGAAGCCGTGACCCGAACCCAAAACCAACGCACAACTCCAGCCTACGTGCCACCGATTTTGAAGTATCTATCGACGGCCACCCGGTAACTGCCTTGACTGACACAGGAGCTGACTACTCGGTCATCAGCGGGCCATTGACAGCACAACTGAAGAAGGTTAAGACGGCTTGGGACGGCCCGCAGATCCGCACAGCGGGAGGCCACCTCCTCACCCCATCGGGGCGATGTACTGCAAGGGTGACATTTGATGGTCACACATACCTTGCCACTTTCTTGGTGCTCCCACAGTGCTCCCGTGACGTCATTCTCGGCATGGACTTCTTGACTCAACATCACGCGGTTATTGACCTGGCGTCCAGATCCATCAAACTTTCCTCGGATGAAGCCATAAATTCATACTCGGCATCTCATAATCGCGCAGCCCTCCGTGTGCTCGAGAATGACGTGAGCGTCCCACCCCGATCAACGACCCTAATCCCCCTAACCACTGGTACTGCCGAAAATGCTCATGGCGTCGTCGAAGGTAACATACAGCTTTTGCTTGGCCGTGATATCGCAATCGCAAGAGGCATTGCGGACTTCCGGAATGGACAGGGCCCAGTGCTGCTAACAAATTTCAGCCAAGAACACCGTCACCTGGCCAAAGGCACGACCATTGCCTTTCTCGATGAAATCCTGGAAGTCAGTGACACCCTCGCACTCTCGAATCCAGTGACCATCACCCCACAGACCCACAACTCGCAGCTGTCATTCGACATTAACCCTTCCTTGCCTCAATGCAAGCAGCAACTGCTCCAGAACCTCCTTCGACGTTATGACGACTGTTTCGCCACTTCTTCACAGGTCCGACACACTTCTCTGGCAAAGCATCGAATCATAACACAAAAAGACATCCGCCCTCTCCATCAAAGCCCTTATCGTGTGTCGGCACGTGAACGTCAGGCCATCCGAGAGCAAGTTGAGGAAATGTTACACGACGATGTAATTCAGCCATCGAAAAGCCCATGGGCGGCACCAGTCATCCTTGTCAAAAAGAAAGACGGAAGTCTTCGGTTTTGCGTCGATTACCGACGGTTGAATAGTGTAACCAAGAAGGACGTGTACCCTTTACCAAGGATCGACGATACCCTAGATCGTCTTAGTGATGCAAGGTACTTCTCGTCCATTGATCTGAAGACAGGGTATTGGCAAATTCAGGTTGATGAAAGAGACTGAGAAAAGACCGCCTTCATCATGCCGGATGGATTGTATGAGTTCAAAGTGATGCCATTTGGACTTTGTTCCGCTCCAGCAACCTTCCAGTGTCTAATGGACACAGTACTGGCAGGTCTCAAGTGGCAAATATGTCTCGTATACCTGGACGATGTGGTTGTCTTCGCCTCCAACTTTAGCGACCACCTGAAAAGGCTCCGGACGGTACTGGACGCAATTAAGTCATCAGGGCTGACACTGAAGCAAGAAAAATGCCATTTTGCCTATGAAGAACTACAGTTCCTTGGCCATGTTATAAGCAAAGATGGCGTAAGACCAGATCCCGAGAAGACAACCGCTATCGCACAGTTTCCTCAACCGCAAGATAAGAGAGCAGTGCGCCGATTCTTAGGACTGTGCGCCTATTACCGACGCTTCGTCAAGAACTTCTCACACATTGCTGCCCCTTTGACGCAGCTCACCAACTCAGATGCCCCTTTCGAATGGAAAGCTGAGCAACGTGAGGCATTCAAAGAACTTCAACAACGTTTACAGTCGCCGCCTGTGCAGGGTCACTTTGATGAAAATGCCGAAACTGAGATACATACAGACGCCAGCAGCATCGGCTTAGGTGCCGTTCTCGTTCAGAAGCACAAGGGCTGCGAGCGCGTCATCGCGTATGCAAGCCGCTCACTGTCGAAAGCGGAAGTGAACTTATTCCACGTCTGAGAAGGAGTGTCTCGCGATAGTATGGGCCACCTCGAAATTCCGCCCATACTTATATGGCAGACCCTTCAAGGTCGTAACGGACCATCATGCGTTGTGCTGGTAGGCCAGTTTGAAAGACCCTTCTGGCCGCCTCGCTTGATGGAGCGTACGGCTTCAGGAGTTTGACGTGAAGGTAGTCTACACATCTGGTCGTAAGCACTCCGACGCAGACTGCCTCTCAAGAGCCCCTGTCGACGCACCACCAAGCCATGAAGACAACGATGCCTTTCTTGGGCCTATCAGCAGCAGCACCTTTGCATTACAGCAGCGCTCAGACTCGATCCTACAACAGTTGATCAACTACATCGAAGGAAAGGCCTCCAATACCGCCTGCACTGTTCAAGCGTGGGATATCCTCCTTCTGTGTGCAAAACGGGGTGGTAGTTAAAAAGAACTTCGCACCGAATAAGGCAGCTTACCTTCTTGTCGTCCCAAGCAGCCTCAGAGAAGAAATTTTACAAGCGTTACATGACGAACCCACTGCAGGCCACCTCGGTTTTACACGCACACTCCACAGAATTCAAGAACGATACTACTGGCCCCGCCTCTCCTCAGATGTTGCGCGGTACGTCAAGAGTTGCCGCGAATGTCAGCGCCGGAAGAGACCTCCAACAAAACCAGCTGGATTTCTCAAGCCAATTGAACCCCCGTCGAGACCATTTCAACAGATTGGTATGGACCTGCTTGGACCTTTCCCCACGTCAACATCCGGTAACAAGTGGATCATAGTGGCCACTGGTTACCTTACCCGATACGCTGAAGCTAAGGCCCTCCCAAACGGCACAGCCGTAGAAGTTGCCAAATTTTTTGTCGAATCGATTCTCCTCCGTCATGGCGCACCTGAGGTACTAATAACAGACAGGGGAACAGCGTTTATGGCTGATCTTACTCAGGCAATCTTACATTACAGTCATACAGATCACCGAAGAACAACTGCGTACCATCCGCAGACAAATGGTCTCACGGAACGCTTGAACAAGACCATTGCCGATATGCTCGCTATGTACGTGGACACAGAACACAAGACCTGGGACTTAACTCTGCCTTACGTGGTCTTCACCTACAACACCGCGGTGCAGGAGACCACTAAAATGACACCATTTAATCTCGTCCATGGGAGGGATTCCGTTACTACCCTGGACGCCATGCTGCCTAATGTCACCGATGAAAACAACCTAGACGTGGCCGCCTACTTTCAGCGCGCAGAAGAAGCCCGGCAGCTTGCTCGTCTGCGCATAAAACACCAACAGCGAAACGACGCAAGACGCTACAACCTGCGGAGACGCGATTTAACATACAGGCCAGGTGACAAAGTCTGGGTTTGGACGCCCGTTCGCCGCCGAGGATTAAGCGAAAAACTCATGCGCCGTTACTTCGGCCCATACAAAGTCATCCGTCAAGTGGGTGAAGTGGACTATGAAGTGGTCCCTGATGGGGCTAGCTCATCCCAACGACGCCGCGCACGACAAGAAGTGGTACACGTCGCCCGTTTGAAGCCCTATCATGCGCGCTAAAGGAGGCTCCCTGTTTGCATCTCTTATTTTGTTTATGTGTGCGTGATTCGTGCTTATTTGCCATTTACTTTCGCACAGGCTGTCCTTTTGTTTTGGTTTTATTTTAAACAAAGCATCGGGTCGATGCTTACGTTGAGGAGGGGAGCAATGCCGCGAGGCGTATTGCGGATAGTGTTGCGCATGCCGATACCGCCGGCACGCGGCCTTATCGTGGTCCAGGATGCACCGCGACTCATCTGCGAAGATCATGGCCCGCACGTCGACCATTCGTTGATAACGAGATAGCGCCAGACGCTACGGCGACTGTATCTCGGATGGTGAACGTGCCTTGCGTTCCAGTGGGACATTTTCTGTTACCCAACGGCCGTCGAACGCGCTGTTCGCCTCCCGCTAAGCCGGTGTGTCTGTTTTCCTTTAGTGGGCGCAAGTCCGCCAAATAAACGGATGTCCTTCTATTTCTACTACCCTCCCGGTCTCCTGTCTTCGGGCTACCCTCACTCTTACGCGACAATACGATAAGAACGTGAATAATTAACATCTGCAGAGGCTAAGGCCACAGAAGTGTTATCCGTGAGCCCACATTCAAGAGACTCTTCCCGAAGAACGGAAGCCAAGTGATATGCAGATGAATGTGCATCTGTCAACACAAACCTGTCGGGAAATGGTTGCATCAGCGGCGGGCGGTACTTATAGGATAACTGTACTTGAGAAAGCCATGTCCAGTTCAGGGTAAAATAGATGAAATAGTTGTTTTGGGACACTAAACCCCAACAATTATTGCACCTTCTACGTGAGTTTACCGACTGTACAAAGAGCAAGCATTACCTGTTGAACTTCCCCTACTCATCTGCCATTTCATCATCCGCTTTTATAAGCTTCAATGCTCTCGCAATAGTTATGCAGTAAAACGTGGACCCTCTTCTTTTTCGCACAGAATGCTCTGTTCAACACAAGAAAAAAAACTTTTTTTTTGCAACATACTCAAGTATGTTGCAATAAAAATGGTTGTCTCAAGTACATAATGTGGGCCTGCTTTGAGCAACCAATGGTCATGGAGTTTCTTGCTAAGATCACTCAGAACTCTAAGGCAGTGGTGTTTAATATAGCCCAACCATGATCTTTAATGGTTTGTCCAACTTTGGCATATGTTATTTCAAATGTTCACGAAGCTTCGCTTGCACCACCACATAATATAATCTGCCTTTAATGTCTCAAATTTTGAAGCAGCCCCGTGATATAGGAGCGCCGAAGGCAAGAAAACTGTGTGCACAGAATGGAGCATTGCAAAATGCTCCATTTATAAAGCAACCTTCTGCAGAATAACTAAGTCACTTAGAGCTAGAATGACAAAGCAGACACATATCCATGGGCGAACACAATTTTCACATTGCTACTAGTGCCCGAGTTAGTGCTCGTAATTCTTGCAGGAAACTTCCCGCCTCTGACCAGAATGCAATCTGTCAACGACTGCGAACGCTGCCCCTTGATTATCAGTTTTTTTCTTGGAAGAGTACTCATTTTGCTTGGATAACGGTGAGCATGCAGAGGGGTGTGAGAATTACTCACGCCGAAGGTGCTGCCCACGGGGAGTCCACATCTTCGAGCTCCGGGCTCTCATTGCCATTGGTGCTACTGCGCTCTGGATCAAACGACATCTTCCTTCAACCTGCCAACACAACAGCACAAGTTCGGCTATAACAGTTGTATCGTATGTTTCGAATTCTCATCATTAAAATGTATATACATCCCAGCAGGTCTAATATATGTTATTGACGAAAAATGGTACAGGCTAATATCCACATTGGCTTCAGAAAAGATCTGGTGCATGTATACAGCTGAAAGTTGGGGAAGACAAAAATGAATGAAGTTCTGAATATGCTACTGTGCTTGCCCGGGGCATAGGCAGAATTTTTTTTTCTTGGGAAAGGGAGGGGGGCAAGTCCTTGATATGAAGTGGGAGCTGGTCAGGCAGATGTGGTCGAGTCATTTTGTGCTATGGCAAAAAAAGAAAGAGGGGGGGGGGGGGCGCCTTGGCTACGCCACTCGTACATGCTGAACGTGAGCGAAGTAGAATACAATATATGATGATACAACCATCGCAAGACGTTGCGAATAAACGCGCACTCAATAAATAAACGGAAACACAGCGTCAAGGCACGCGACATCATCATGAACGGCTGTCAAGCAATGCACAGCTTGTCACGGCTTCGTCGAGGATGCACATGGGATAATGACAGCCCCGTTAGAAGGTTGCGCGATTTTTCCACTCACGGCTCGTTTCCTCGTCGCGGTCTCGCAAAACTGCGCAGGGAAGCGACCAATCGCGTCGCACGCAGCGGACAGAATGGTGGTGGTAGTGATTAGAATGAAGAGGAAAAAGGCACCTAATTTCTGTCTGCCTTCAGGCGACACGGCGCAGTGCCTTATAGGGGTGGGGGGAAGGAGGGATAAAAAGAATAGAAGGAAAGTAGAAGCAGAAGAAGACAGCCAACGAGAGGAAAAAGAAGGAGATAGGAAAGTGGGGATCCGGTCGAAGCAGTCCAAGGGCGGGGTGCCACAATGCGAGAGCTACACGGCGTCAGGAGACCGCGGAGGGCGAACCAGTCGGCGGGAGCTACGCTGAAGTCGGAGATCGCGAGGGCACAACCGTCCAGCTTGAAATCCTGCGAGCGAATCGACAGAATGAATCCACGCGAAGACACCGCGTCCGTCCGGTCTCTCCCTTCTCTTTCCTCTTGCCCGATGACCAAAGAGGATGGCAATCATACAGCTGAAGGTCGATCGTAATAGATGCCACGCGACGGGTCGAGGAGTACAAAGTTATATCCCTTTTCCCTTCAAGCGGGACCCACAAGCGCGATTGCTAAACTGCGCGACGACCAAAGAAAAGTTCCCGACTTTCCGTTCTCGGCGTGTTTAACCTTGAGTGTTTCTAGGACTTCAAAAGGACAAGTTAGATAACGATCAGACGTAGCGTCGATGAGTCGTTGGATAAGCTACCGGATCGACGCGATTTGAGCGCTCACGGGCGCACCACTTACCTCGTTTTTCCTCTTTCTAAACTCCGCGGAAAGTACGCAAACCAACACACCTTCGTGTACGTAGATACGACTCCGGCACTGACTCGACTCTTCCGGCGACGTTCAGCGTGACAGTACCGAGCGAATGCGAATCTGATGTAACCTGTTGCGCAGCCGACCCCAGAAAGGAAGGAATAAACTCAATTGAACTTTTGCGCGAGCAAGTTGCTCCGTCGCGTACGCACACAACCGGCCGAGCAAGACCCGTCTCTCCACACGAAACACAAACCAAACTCTCGGCGCGCCGCACCTACACTCGCTGCCGCCCGCCGACGAAGTGAGCGAGAAGAAAAGTGAGCGTAGAGGGTGAGGAGAAAATGCAATAAAGCAGTTACAGCCACAGTGATGCTAAAACTGAGGTAAAATTTTGTACTACTACAAATTAACCGTAAGTCACGTTTAAAAAGTAATAAAACAAAACGGAACATTTACGAAGGCTGTAAGTTTATTCTGATGCATTTTAATTTTTTTGTATTTTGAAATGTAAAAGTAATATTAAAAAAATTTTACATACTTGTCATTTACAAATAATTTTAAAGCTGTAAAAACATGTATAACGCTTTTTTAATAAAAACACGTAATCAACAATAAATACATTACCTAAAAGTAGTAACGTTGTTTGCTGCCAAATTAAGCGGGCAAATGTTTAACGTCTGCGCACACTGGCGCAAAACAAAACCAAAACAAGCACGCGTGTCAAAGTGGTGTGTGGGCGGGCTGTGATCGCGCTTTTGTTTCGCGACGCGAGCGCGTGGCATCGTCTGCTACGATGACCACCATCACGGCGTCGGCACCGGGAAAAACCATAATTCACGGCGAACACGCCGTTGTCTACGGCAAGGTGAGTTTGCAGTGCAGCGTCGTTGGGCGTCGTGGTCTTTCCTTGCTTTCGAGACGCTGCCTTTTTTTCTTTTTTCCTCGCTCCGCGGCGAGCCAAACCAGCGCTCGGTCGTGCGTGCACTTTCGTCCCGCTTAGGAAAACAAAACGAGGCGGCCCCGTTTTTCCTCGTGTTCGATAGTCGTGTATTCGTCGCCGAGTTCGGTGTCTTTTTTTCCGCCTTGTGTCTGGCTCGCGACCTTTAGATACAAATCTATGTAGGTGGACCCCATTTGATGTACACACGTACGTACGCGTAATATATCGTACGTGCATTTTTGTCGTGCATGTGTCTGTGGAAGGTCTGCTTTGTTCTATAGCTCACGATCCTCAGCTACAGATCTTTATTTGACGCCTACCTATTGTTACGTGGAGTTACCGTCAGCCGAAACCACGTAACAGTATAACGCCAGCACGTATACGTTTTGGTTGTATATTGCGCATATATGCTGATCTGTTGAAAGTATTCAATCCGCCTACGCATTTCTTTTTTTCTCTCGAGGCCGCAGTGGCGGCGAGCGTCAACTTGAGGACCCGCGTGACATGCTGCGACCACGATTCGTTCGTTGTCTTGGAGGCGCCGGACCTCGACTTCGTCGAAGCCTGGCCCGTCAGCAAGTTTGAAGCTTTTGCCGTTCCCGAAAGAAGTGCGTTTAATGTTCGCATCCTAAGCGATATTTCTGTTTACTCGTGATAAGAAGTCAATGTATGCGCGCTATATAGTGTATATGAATATTCAGCAGTGTAAATAATTGACTCATTCGACATCAAAACTTGAATAACTCGAAATTCCAGTTCATTCGAAGAACTTAAAAAATCTTTGGTTGACTTTTCATGTAGCCATCAGACATAATTCAATAAATTTTATGTGATCAATTACCTGTAATCACTTATATTTCTGCACTTTGTAATTGAAAAATATATATATTTTTGCCCAGTAATGTATACAGGAATTAAGTAATTTAATTTAGTGTGTGGTTGCATAAAGCCAACATATATTTTTTTATTCACAAGGAGAGCTATAATCAATAACGCACCTTGTGAATCTTAAATTTTGCCAAAGCTACATAGCTTTTGCTATAAAGCTACATAGTTTTTCACAGGCACTCATTTTGCTATGAAGCGGAACGTGTGGCTGTGCTATGCAAATGCCTTGAATATGTCCATGTTCAGATTGGCAAACACAGGTACTCATTTCATCTGAATACTCTGCTAGATCTTAGCCGATCAATAAAAATTGATGATACTCCGCGGTCATCACTGCATCAAATATCGATGCAAACAGCTCACCTATGAACGATCTTTTTTTCAGCTTTTCGTTTCATTGCTGAGAATAGCTTCACTGAGTTACTGCAAAACAGTGAAATGCTCTGCTTCACAGAAGGCACACATGCCAGCACCTCAGCAGTTAGTAAGCGCAACCTTGTGTGTGAGGTGTTCGTGCACTATGACCCCTCTACGCAGAACTCACATCAAGCGGCTACCTTCATGAGCAGGTACACCACCAACAAAAAATTTTCAAAAGCCATTCTTCAAGAATATATTTAAATTAAGTGCAAAGGGCAGCTGCAAAGGATGCATTGGAAGAGGAAGGCGTGCTTACTGTAAGAACTAATTTGTGAGATTTTAATTACATTGGAAGAATTAAGGTAAACAACAAGAAATCAATTTTGCAGGTCATTTATCACCTGCAAATAAACTATTGAAGTAATTGCCATCTTTTTTTTTATTTGTTTTTCTCATAGTGTGTACACCAGAGAGCAAAATTATACAGACCACAGGAGTGCGTGCCGCTGCCACTGTCTATGCTGTCTAGTTCGGAATCGTCTGAGGTTGAGAGCACTGATGTGAAGGAATTGCTGTCGAAAGCATTGCTCTAGCGCAATTCGTAAGAGATACTCTCTCGACGGCAGATGGCTTGTCACTGGACGATGCAGAAAGCAGAGGTGTACGAACACCCATGAGTATATGAATGGTTCATATACTTATGGGTGTTCAAGCCTGATCGTAATGCATTCCGTAGCCTCGTATTAAAAATGGTTAAAATAAATGTGTGATGTCTAAACTATCTAATTTTTCTACGTGGAGCAATACCGTCCTTAGAATGGCATGGGTACACTTCTTTATAGATTACAGCAGCAGCCAAAATACAAGCTCATATGGTATTTGAATTGCGTTTAACAAAGCAAGCACCAACCTATGTATATATCTTTGCGTGTGTCTCAATTCTGACCCAACCGTTAGATTTTGACAAGGTGAGTACACGTCATGACTCATTAATTAATTTAGAGAACATACTTTACTCAGATGAGTAAGGTTCAAACTTATATCAGTTTGAGGAAAACTGTCTGATGGTAGTTCTAACTTGCTGTATTCATAAAAAAGGAAAAAGCAAGAGGAAAGGAATTGTATTAATCATTAAAAATTCCATGCTGTCCAGTAAACACCTGGACCGGAAGAAACATGGCCACGGAAGAAAACACATCGTAAATTGCTAGCACACCCCAAAAGGCTCCAATTAAAAATCAAAGGAATGAAAGTATGTCTTGATTAGTGCATGTCGATTGCAAGTTTGGCTCACACTCGGCATCATACTGCCATGCCTTAAAAATACCCTGTTATCTCACAGCCTATACGACCACTGTCATCTTGTCCGGAAGCCTCGTGCCAGACATTTGCAGCGCCTTCGAAATTGACGCAAAGTCTTCCAAACCTAGAGACCAAGGAAAGCTGGCCTTCCTCTTTCTGGTCGTGGGTATCACTTTACGGCACAACAATGGGTAGGTATAAATGCATGGCAATTGTACTTGAGGTATTTTTTTGAACCTGAACATACTGCAGGCTTAAATGACCATTGCAGGAGTGGTTACAGAGGCAAAAAAAAGGGAAATCGCAAACAGAAACGAGTAGTTTGCACTTTAGTAATAAGAACCCATCACAATCCACAACAATAGTAGTTAAGTCATTTCAGTGAGAGATTGCTGATAGAAAGAGTGAAAATTTATGTGTATTAACCGAGCTTGAAGGTTGTTGAATTATATTATTGCGGTTAGCTCCTGATGATTGTAAAAAAAAAGAGTGATGTAAATAAAGTAATTTAACTTTTACATTATTTGGAATCTACATATGGGAAATTTAGCGTGCACACAGGTGCACAGCAAGATAAAAGAAATGCTGGGAAATTGACCAGGGGAGTGAGGGAGGGAGAAAAAAACCAAAGGCAGAAAAGTTTGCCGCTCATGCACTCCTTTAGCCAGAGTCGTTGCACAAGAAGTGCCACAACAGCTAACACTTTTAACAACGGGAGGTGTCTTCACTGTGACAGCAGCTGCAAGTTTTCCTTATGGGCACCTATGTATATATAGCTCTCACTCTCTGCCCCCCCTTTTTCTCTTTACACACATATGCTAAACAAATAAGAAGTCGTAGCGTACAGTAGGGTAAGGAAAGTCATATGTATTCAAAGCAAAAAATAAAAAGCCTAAAGGGAAGAGGGCCAGCTCCTTAGCTGTAACACAGAGGTACTGCTGTCAGGCTTTCAAGTAGAGATGACAAAAATATCATGAGGAAGTACGTACATCAGCAGCCAGTGTCATTTCAGTGGGCCTATGGCTTTTTCATATAACTAAGAAGATGAACATTTCAGGCATGTGAAAAAAAATTACTAGACGAAGAAAATAAAAAAGTGAGTGGCGATACTTCTTGCCTCTCTGGCACGACTGAACACCAAACTCAATTTTACGTGAGGCTTTCTTTTTCACACCTTCATTCAACGTTACCACTAGTGCCGTTGTTATCTATGTGCAAATTTTCGAATACTCGCGCACCCTTGAATAGCAGTTATCGAAAACAATCAAAACAACTTTCTCTTATGCTTCTGCTGACTTCACACTCTGTTATTTTCCTCATCACGGCAACAGCAACACTAATCGAGCAACACCGAAAGAGAAACGAGTCCTTAGGATTGTCCTATATACTTCTTGCATATATAAACAATTTGTCACTTGGCTACTGTGAAAAACTCCGTCAGCTTTAGCAACAATAATATGAAATAGCTATGAATGTTGTAGAGAAAAAAAAGCTAGAGAAATGTATGCATCTAAACAGGCGAATTTTAGTCATAAGGCACTTGTTTCTTTTATTATACCATTGTCACGTATATGTTTTGAACTCCATAGCTTTAAGCGTGCTTTATATTGAAAGAACAGAACAGACCTAAAGTATTCTTATCTGTCAATTTTAGCTACCCAAGCTTTTTTGTGGGTGTGCTTTTTATTGCCATGAGCTAAAATAATCAGTTATCAATAATGAACCAAAAAACTTGAAAAGCAGCAGCTTTGTTGCAATGTTGCAAAGTATACAATAGAGAAGCTGTAGAGCCTATTAAACTATAGCCGGACGATCTTTTTTCATCACGATAAACGGTGCGGTTTCTAATTTTTCCAGGGTCAAACAATAGAATTCAGTTTCGACTTCACTGTGCAGCTACACATCCTTTGTAGCTAAAACCTCCTGTAGAAACTATGCAATGCAACCTTCCTTCACTAAACGACAGCTGTTGTGTGTGCTAATGCAATACATTTAAAACTGAAATGAGCTGAGCATGTTACTGCAATAGCGGCTGGTAAGAGATGGTAATGCCTATTTTGTCTACATGTGCCCATGATTGTCTGTTTAACAACATTTAAACTGGCCCATTTATTGGCCTCGCCTTGTTATTTCATGCCTAGGTTCCTTAACAAAAAAGGTTTTTCAAGTATGAAGAAGATGGACCAAGTGCATATGCCAAAATCAAGTTGGTTTAAAAAGAATGAACACTGCAACATCTACGAAGGAAAAAGATCTTGACTGATACGAATGCTTGAGCTTATTATGATGCAGTCTTGTGCTGTCATCGTGTACATGTATGGCAACAAAAACAATGAAAGTTGGAGACCGTTTGTAATTATGTGCGACATATATAAAAAAACATTGCGGATTTGAAAAAAAGGAAGCTTTGGGGAGACATACCTTTTTTGCTCTTGGTGCCTGTTTCTTTTTCAGTTGGTGTTTTAAGCATCAAGTCTAACTTAGAGGCTATGAGCAAACATTCGAATAATGCGTTCGATGCTCTAACCACTGTGCTACCACAGCGGCCTAAACATTCCACCCGTGACACAAAAACTTGACTTTAGCCAGTATACTGTCTTACGCATCAGAGTTTTTCTCAGCATCTGTTCAGCTTCATAGTGTGAAAAAAATTGCTAAGCAGCTTACTATGCTGATGATATTCCTAGATATTTCTTTGGTGTTTTTTTCTTTCTTTCGTTTTTTAACATGTCAGAAGTGCTTTTACTTGCATTTTCAGTGATTTTCTATAAAACTACTGTCAATTAATACAGGGAGTTCCAGGTGGACATTTTAGTATCTTGGGAGAATGCAAAGATGAAGTAAAGGAAAGCATTGACCATGACATGGCTTAATGGCCTTCTAAACTATAGGCGACACTGTTCTTAAAGTCAATGGAGTGATTCCTTTATCAAGCTCAGTATTCTTCTCATGGGTGCGTTCTCCATGTCACGTACTTCTCCAAGACACATGGATGTTATGTCAGTGTTTTTAATGTCACGTTGGCACTCTTTGCTTGTTGAAGAACACCATATACTTCTGCTTATGGGAGATGTATTCCTAAGCTGTTTCGTGGTTAAAATAACGTAAACGGAGTACAACCTTCTCTTAGATACACTGCTGTGAATATGTGTTTGTAGCAAATTTTCATGTACTATAACGAAGTTATTTTTGTGTAGAATGGGCATTGAATTAAGCACCTTTTGCACAGAGTGGAAATGTGTCTTTTTTTAAAAATAGAGCATGTTTTTGCATACACACTGGTAATCAAATATCAAACATTAGTAAAATATATAGCACCTTAAATTTAATAATAAAACAGTATTTTTGAAATGGCTTGGCTTCGAAGTTTGTCTCTCTTCTTCATGTAACCGCGGCTCTATGCTGTTGGTATCTGTTGTGCAGAGCTAAGGTGGTGGCATAATTCCCTCCCCCCTCCTACTCCTTGTGATTTTTTTCCCTCGGCCACCTGCTATTGCCCTAACTCTCACTTGGTTGATTTTACTTTGTTGTCAATGACTCAAACTTATGTTCGAAAAAGTGCTTTTCTGAGTTGTGATGCGTATTGACAATAGCGCGATGCTTGTGTTCTCTGGGAGCTTTCGTACTCGAGCTTGTGCACCGTATTGCCTCATACCTTCCTCCTCCACCCTTTTTTACAATACTGTCCCTCCTGTCTAGACATATCGGCCCCTTTGCCTGAAATTTCACCAGATATGTCACTAAGCTACTATCTCTTCTACTTGGTAACGTGTTTTGCATACTTTCACAGTTCTTATTGCACCTAATGACATAATCTCAACGGCACATTCATTCTTAACTCGAGGAAGCTATCAAGATGTCTTTTCTACATTGAGGGATTACAGGAATAGAATTGACCTGCCTTGCCATTTTAGTAGTGGGAATGGGCTATGTTTTTTCATTCCGAGGAATTCAAAGAAATGGAATTGAGGCAAGATCGAATTCCTTGGACTAGAACGAGAATGGTGTGGAGGCGCCCATTCTGCAACACTGCTGGGTCAACGTTCGATTGAATGTGACACCTTCAGACTTTTAATATGCTTCACTTTATTAAATTTTCGTATTGCGAAAGAGCTACATTTTAAGCTTACCTGCAGTCGAACTTTTCAGACGATCACAATCAACGTCCAGTGACACTTTTGATTTTTTTTATGCTTCACCTTATTACATTGTCGCTTAGCGGCAAAGCTGCCTTTCAAGCTGCTTTACGGTCGCGATTGTCTTGACTCGAGAAAACGCTGGCTCCAACATGGTGACAATACATGTGACTAAGGTGAGATCTCAGTTAGTGCTGTTTTGGCTGGGCAGAAAGTAGGAAAAATCAGACGCCGAAAATTTTCAGCATTCAATATTTCTAATGTTCTTGAATGTTGACGTCTACCAGGCGTATTTGGAACTCCTAACTCAAAGGTAGCACAACTTTGTGCATCCATCAATTAGGCTTCCACAGAAGTTGAAAGAAGAGGAGAGATTGAGCATCCTTGCCTTTCACGTGTTGTCGGCAGCGCCGAATCATGTACTAATACTATTCGGCCTTTGCATTGCCTCATGCTTGATAAGACAACTGAGAAGTACCCCCCCTCACCAGCACGTCATCCATCTAGCAAACACTTTCACAATGCTATTTCATAAGGATGTGCTTAGGAATCCTCCCTAACTTTCTTCTTTCCTCAATTTTGCTTCAAGCTATTAGCAAAATACTTTACTTGGACTCACTGCAATATTTTACTTCTTTCTCACCCAAAATTTCACTATTTGCACAGCTCTACCAAAAATCCTGGTCACTTTAAACTTCCACTTTCAACTACTCTGGCACTGATGTGAGAGCGTTTTGTTTTTTCAAGGATTATCTAGGACATTAGTCTAAACTAAAAATTTCTCGAACGACACAGGCGCTTTGGTCCACTCAAGTTCACCATTAATTCGAGGCTTCCGCTGGGAGCGGGTCTCGGATCGTCGGCGTCTTACAGCACGGTCCTGGCGACGGTGCTTCTGGCAAAGTATGGAGTTGTACAGTGCACCCTGTCCAGCAAGGACCGTGAGCTCATCTGCTCTTGGGCCTTCCAGGCAGAATGCATCCTGCACGGTCAACCTTCAGGCATCGACAACACCATCTGCACCTACGGTACCCATCAATTGACTCATACAATGCTTACGTTCAGTAAATATATTTAGAAATAATGCACTACCTTAAGGGAATTTCATTATTCTTTTTTAGAGAGCACATAAATTTCGTGCTATGTGATTGCACGTGTTAGTTCAATATTGCGGTTTCTTGACACATCGAAAATGCGTATATCTTTGCACGCAAATCTATTTTTCTTGTTGTTGTCATTGAGGTGTTTACCTTAAAGCTTGTAAATTTCATTTCCTTTTTTTATCAATATTTTCGGGATGCTGCAGAAATCATAATTTTTTTAAAAGGTCCAAATGGATAAGAATAATTATAGAAATGATTACATTTAAGCTTAACAATCTGAACTCTGTGCCTCAACTGAAGGACATATTTTTATAGAACCAATTTTGAAGCATCGGCGGTTTCAGACTTAGCCTGCCACTTTATTACCCTAAAGTACTACTGAAACAAACAGATATGATTACTGGTTCACTATACAAAATAAATGAGTGGAAGAAACATATTGCAGGCAATACGAAGGACAGCATAGGTACTAATTAACAAATGACACTAATTAACTAGCTTATTTATAAACTGTGGTGGTGTTTGTTTTTGCATATGTGCACATGTGATTTTTTAGCTGATTCTTTACACTAAACTATTTTACACAGACAATAATCACAGATTTGATAATTCTCTATTTGTCTTCCATGTTGCCGAATCTCACGGTTACTCTGTTCAGTCAATAAATTTTCTTGTCAGTTTGTAAAAATTTGGTTTGACTTTACATTTATCTACATACTCATGTAGTTTTATGCCTACATTCAAGAGATGATCTCAGAATAGTTGCAGCTGCATCTATAAAAATAAAAAAGTCATGTAGTCTCTGATACACCTGACATAGAAGATTTGAAACAGAGAAGACTAGAATAGTTTTGAAATGCTGTGCAGTTCTAGTGCGTAGTCGTTCATGCTGAAAGTATAAAGAAAGCACTGTTTTCTTTTTCAGGAGGTGCTGTTCTATTTAAGGGTGGGAAAATAAGTGAATCTCTTGAGAGGTGAGTGAATATTCGGTAGACCACTTCTGTGAAAATTCAAAATGTTGACGACGATTGATGAAAGAAAAAAAAAAGAAATTGGCACCACTGGAAAGTTGAACAAAGCTACAGTGTTTTTCATGAAGAAAACTTGACAGCTGAAGGAAAAATTCCGCAGGATAAACCCGAGGCCGACAGCTTACCGAGGCATACACTTTGTGCCGTCTGAATGATGGACATTCCCGAACCGTCAGGGTTTTTACCGATGCGATTGCTGCATTCGGTGCCCTCATGGTTTGATTTGTTGAATGACTAAACTTTTGTCAAAATGGCTGATTATGCAAGTTGGTTATTCATAGTATAGTTTAGTAATTAGCGTGTAACCTGAACATGGACTTATGAAGACGAGTGCATGTCGATGTCTTCTAGAAACCTGTTACGCACTTATCTTCTAAAGACCTGTTCTAGGTTACGCGCTTGTATTTCAACCACTAAACCGCATTCTGTGATCCAGTAATTTCCTGCTTAGTTCAGACATTAGAGTGATTGCCTTCACGGAGGCATTCGTAGTAGGTTCGATACCTGAAACTGGCCAAGTTCTTCTTTCACAACAATGTTTTGTTTCTGTAAAACCTGGGTTTACTTGGTAAATTCATGCTGGATTGCATGTTCTCAAACAATGGCTATAGTTTGTACTGAACATTTTTTTGATTGCTCTCTTCACCCATAGTTTTCTGAAATTAACCAGAGGGGACTCTGGTGCTGCAATCATTCAGCCCCCGTGGGAATGATGGGTAGTATGCAGATTTGCCTAGCCTTGGTACTAGTGGCTTCGAATGCACCTGTGGCATTGTTTATTGTAGTGTTTTGCTTTTGTTTTTAAATAAAAGAACCTACCATTGTGAACTTTGTGACCCAATTTGATATTGGTGAGCATAAAAGGTTAAGGTGCTGAAGTGCAACTGCTGAACATTTGGTGATTGTCGTCTCATGACAAAGCGGGTCCATGTTGCGCTCCGTGCAATGGAGCCAGAAGAACAAAGATTGCATGAGTTTGTGTACTGCCCATCGTTTCCATTGTGGCTGAAGTGGCGTGCATTGTAGCTTCCATAGACACTAGCGCCAGAGTTCCCTCTAGTGTTTAAATAAGAAACTCTCTGTCTCCACCAATAATATTCCAGTAAGTAACGATATTAGCCAAGTTCTTTCAACTTATTAGTAAAAAGATAGCTTTGGCAGAGTGCTTTAGTTGATATCAAGGACAAATGAGAACTCAAATGCATGAGTGAGATTGGCTGGGAGGACAAGTCAGACATCTACAGTTGAACCCCTTTATAAAAGACACTGATATAAAAGACAAATAGGCATAAGAGAAACCAGTGTGCCTACAGTAAAATACGGTTTGATAGGAAAATGCATACATGGTATCCTGCTTATAAGAGACATCTCATATGAAAGACAAGAATTGGTGCCCGGAACATGCCTCTTACAAAGGGGTTTAACCGTGATACGTAATGAAAGCTTGGTTTCGTCACTGTCACACACTTCTGGTGTGGCTCCGCTGATCTAACAGCGGCGTACGGCAGACTCGCAGGCTTCCACTTTACGTTTAGGCCTGCGACGGCTGAAAGGCCTCCAAGTGGTACATTTCAAATTTGTGTGGATCAGTCGGCCCATGCCGGGTTGCACATGCAGTGACGTTTGGGTCTGACTGACGTACTCATAGAGCAGACACGGACATTTGATCGAACGCAAACAAGCATTTAATTAAAGCAAGTGCAAGGGCAAGAGCTAACACAACTTGACCAAGACGGAAAAAAACAAACCAAAATACGCATGATAGAAAGAACAACTACAAAACAAACTATTCTCTAAAAGAACACTACAATAGGTACAAGCAAACACGATGCAAAATGTTAATGAAGTAATGACTTGATGGAAACTAAGAGAGATACAAAAAGGAATTACAAAAAGGTGCTCTCTTTCCTGAGCTTCCTGTGGAATGCAGTACACACAACTACAATTATTTAAAGCTGGAAATAATGAAATAACGGTTGAAAAAAAATCACTACAAACAGTTCTTTACTAACCAGGCCAGCTCCTGGTGCATGTAGGGAAGTTGACGAGGTGCCGCTGAATGTCTCCCTAGCTTAGGTAAATGGCAAAGGTGCCCAGTGTTGCAGCCGACTCAATTTCGCTGCGCAGAACACTCCATGCTTGCCACATATGCGAGACTCGCGACACCGACGACCACCCTTCCTGCTGTTTCAGCGTCAACTGCCGAAGCAGCCAAATTTTCTTTGAAGCTTACGCATCCCCCTTGAGGTCATTTTCCCCGAACGTATACGTGCCCTCTTTGCTGCAGGTGTAGGAAAGCTGTGGCGGGGCTGTTGAAAAGTAGTTACTTGCTGGAAGTCTTTGCTCAATTCAAAGACCTCCCTTCGACAAAAGGGCATGCGGTCGGGAACACTTGACATTTGTGACAGTCACTTATATTGTGCCTGTACCGTTGTCCATATTGGCACACATATGATGTACGAAGATAATAGAGTTCTTTTATTGTTTCATGCAGGTTTAGCAAAACATTCACCACGTCAAATTGATAAAAAAAACACAACAAAGTTGTGCTCACCAACAAGGCCAAAGTGCGTCTAGGTCACAATGAATCATGTACACTCTAACTTCAATATACCAAACGCAGATATAATGAAATATCGGTTCAAAAAAAGTTAATAAACAATAGCCTTGCAATAGATAAGGTGCTAGAAATAACCTTGATATGGGTTTTCAGATACAATGAACTTATTTTTTAGTAATATGCTACTTTGTTATAATCAGGTTTGAGTGTATCTAGTATACTGTTAATTAAATACTGTCAGTTACATTTAATTTTATAACCTTGACCCTTGAATTATGGATTAATTACAGTTAAATCATAATGTGTTAACAAAACATGAATTCAGATTTATGCGAACCATAATACTCACAAAATTTTGTTGCTGGTTATAAATATGGGGAATAAAAAATTGCACCTGCATGTGTGCATTTTCTGCATAAAGCACTAGCATTTACAGAATTACAAAACAAATTAAAGCAAGTGAGAGTGGTAATGTTGCAGTAACAGCGAGGTAAAGAAGGATGTTCTGAAAATTCGCTGCTCAGAAAAAAAAAGCAAAGGACTTAAAGTTGAGTGTTGTTTAGATCAAAAAGAAAAAAAAACTTTGGGACCAAGTAATAAGTTTTTTTAATTACCAAAACAGTCTGTAGAAATACCCTTCTGTAAGTTTAGTTTCCGTTGATACGAAGACAATGATAACTGCTCTGCACGCCACTTTCATCATCAGAACCTCTGGATACTGTCTTCTGTTCCTTCTCTCCAGCATTCCCAGCTACAAGGTGTTGCTGGTAAACACCCGAGTTCCCAGGAACACCAAGGCTTTAGTGGCAGGTGTCAAGAAGAGGCATGATCAGGTAGCGAGTTGTCAACATGCATTGCCCACTGTTGTCAGATGCCTAGGCTGTGAAAAATAAATTGTCTATTCTCGAGATCATTTTTACGATAGATTAGTTGCAGATTGTTTATGTTAGCCCCACCACGATATTGTTGTGCAGTAATAAGCTCAGCTCATAAAGAAATTGTTTGTCAAATTAAGCACCACATGTCTGCCCATATATTGCACATCCATGCATTTTTGGATGTTTACGAAGCAGATAAAATTTTTACCCACGTAGAACTGCTTCTTTTGAAAACCAGCATGATTTTGCATGACTAATCTTAATTTAATCATATTATTCAACAAAACCTAAGCCACACGTAACTAGTCACATTGTATAAAATTTAATTATTCATTTTTTTGAAGTTGTGGTGAACTTTAAATTATCCTTGGCGCAGACGTGGCACTGCCAGCATGTCGCAGAACATTTTATTTTGTCCCTCCACGCTGTGAACACAGGCGTGGAGAGCGAGATGAAAGCGGAAACCGGTCCTCAGTCCACCAGACTTGAGCATTAAAAATTAAATGTTATCGGAAACCTCAGCAACTTTGTCTCTGCATCGTTAAATGCACTGCTGCCAGCATCTTTCATTTAGAGTTCACCACAAAGTAAAATCCAACAAAGTTCTGATCAGGTTAGCTGAACCGAATCTCTTGCTATTCAGTTTCCAGATGTTATAAAGCCAGTCCTGGAATCTATTGAAGCAATATCTGAAACCTTCTGGAGGCTCCTAAAGACAGCACTCGATGCGGCAGAGAACATGTTTTCCAAATCCTTGGTAAGCCTTTAGCAAAACAATTCAATTACTGCGAACTATAGTTTGTATTTAGATACCCCAGCTCCCACCCAAAAATAACAAAAGCATGACTGCTGCAAAGACAGTGTAATAAAAAATATATAATTGATCTAGCTAAGTAGTATGATAGCAGTGCATGTCCCGACAAAGGCCTTAATGCAATGAAACAACACTAATAAATGTGGGGCCCACAATGTAGGGTACTAGTGAAGTAACTGGAAGGTTGTCATTAGAATTGTGCAAATATTTGAGCACTTAAAATATTCGAACAAATGTTACACTATTTGAATTTGCTTTGACACGAATTTAAATTATTCAAAATTAACAAATAGGTGTACATAACCAGCATGTAACCTCTCAGTAAAAGTTGTTTCACGGCAGTGGGAGGACGCTGTGCTGTGAATACGTTCATCCGGGGGAAATTTGCATTGATGCGAAGCCGCATGTCAAGGTTAAATGAATGTACTATTACCCTCTCATCGATTCATTGTATATTAAGCTTAAAACCTTGTAGTACTGGCTTATATGCTCCAAATATAATAAATTTTGAAACAAAACCTAATTTACAGGGTATTACTTGTATTCTACAGAAAGTGAAATCCTGCTATCAATCAAAGTTGCTTTCACTTCCTTTGAGCCAAAAAGTACATTTGTGCATGCCTTGTTTCAATAAAAAAAGAACAAATATTGTGCATGTTAGTTTATTTATCACTAATATGCTCGGTTTTCTTTACATTATGTGATATATGCCATTTGAATTCGATTTGAAATTATTCGGCTCAATCACTGTTTGCTTCGAATTCACTTTGAACCTAATATTTACTATTCGCACAAGCCTAGCTATCTCATTTCTGCTGACCACATAAATGACATTACAGACTAGCATTAACAGGAGCAGTACATCGCAGTGCAATAACTCACAAGTGACCTTGGGGTATGAAAAGCGATGCAGACGTGAGAATGACGGGAACTTATAATGCTGCCATGTTACGCTTACTCAAACAAAGTGCAAAGATGCATGAGTGTGTCTTGGAGCAAAGCTTTATACCTGTCATTGGTCTAAGAATTTCGTTGTGTAAGCATGAAAATCCTAAAGCATGTATGTCCCACAATAATTGAGCAAATTCCACTAACATTGGTCCACTAAACATGAACAATACCTCTCGTTAGTCATCAAGTTTCATGACATAAACATGAAACCCCAAGATAAAAGCCACCGAACCACCAACGGACACTCACGTTATCTTCTGCTAGCAGTTGCGCACGCTCCTTGCGTTTTCACCTCTGATACCGAGGAAGGGAACTTGAAGGGGTGGACCGACATGCCGACGCTGTAGACTTGTGCACAACCCGAATTCCACAATTAAATTTTTACCTATGGGTGTTTTAGGGGGCTATAGCGATTTCAGGCAAATGGCACATCTTTCCTTGCAATCAGGCATGCAGCATAGAGCTCAGTAATTGTTTTAGTAAAGAAAACCACAAAAAAGCATCAAGACAGCTTGCTGGACTTGTCAAAAATGGGAACACCCTCTTACACATTCCCGGTAAAGATTAGCTTGCAGCTACTTTGCACTTCACAAGAGGGCTTCTAATGACATCAAACGGCTTGTCCTTCTTGCCGCAAGTGTTAGTCGCTTTTATATACATAATAAAAGACCTGTCAGGCAACTCGTTGAGTTCATTCTAAGACTGCCGTTGATTTAAAGCTGCTGCCTAAAATAAATGGTTGCATAAACCCACAGTCAACTCTTGTGAATGGAGGCACATTCGAAGTAACGGGATGCTGTCCACTGGGTGGTGCCACAGATCACCTCGTCGAGTATGCCAGCTTAAGCTAATGTGTGTGAACTCGACTTCGAGACATATAAAGAAAGAAGCAAGTTCCTTTCCAACTTGAATGACAGTTCTCTCCAGTAGAACAAAAGCAAATATTCTTGGGCCATTCTTAACTTTCCGGTACAGCTATGCAGACCTGATTTAGCTATGCATGTACAGTCTTGAACAATGTAAAACAGAACACCGAAACTGTCTTCAAAAGGGCTGCACTAGTTAAAGGCCTTCGCTAAGCACACAAATATTCGTAGCACCAAATGACAAAGCAAAAAGGTTTTCCTTGCACATCAATCTGCACATTACAAGGAGTTGTTGCTAAACACAGACGTTCGCGTTGCTCGTGACTGCAACAAGGGCGGCTTGATTCAGGGAAACACTTAAAAAACATGTGGGAATGGCAACACCATATGTCATGAGCGAGGGGCGTGTATCCCTGCAGGCTTCGCATATGTACGTTCCTTTTTTGTATCACACTTGTATCCATGCCTATGTAATGCCCTTTTTGGGCTCTTAGGGTACTCGTATAAATATAAATGAAATTGCATGAGTGCGTGTGTGGGCATTGTGCAGGAACTGGTGCAGATGAACCAGTCCCTGCTGAACTGCCTAGGAGTTGGCCACCCACGACTGGACCGGGTTGCCGAGATTGCCGCCCAACACGGTCTCGCTGCAAAGCTGACGGGGGCGGGCGGTGGTGGCTGTGCCTTACTGCTGTGCCGTGTTGGCTGTCAAAACAGCATGGGTGCGTAGAACTCTGCCATGTACCAACGATTGCGATGATTGCCGGATGTTTTCCTGGACAATTTTGCACAGCCAGTGTAAAATACATGAATCGTCATGCATACTCGATTTAGTGTGCTAAGAGGCCTCTGAAATGGTGGCTCGACGATAGAGAGCTACGCATGTAATTTGAGAAATGTTGGTTTCAATACCACAAAAGGCTAAGTGCCTTTGCATTAGCTTTCATTCATCTATTCCTTGTTTTTTCAACGGTGGCTAAGCAGCGGAGTAGCTCCATAATTATGTAATCACTGTCGGCTGATGTTGGCTTCAGGGGCAGCTTTGTAGGCAGTGGGAGGTGGTCATTGCACAGCTACGACTAATGTCTTATATTGCCGAGGGGGATTCTTTAAATCACAATATATGTGCTCTCGATGCCCTTCGTTTGAGCCGAGGATTCTAATTAAGCTATAACTTTCGTCAAGAACAACCAGGAGCATTCCTATCTTTTTAATCCATAAATTAATACACCAAGTTCAAGTCTGTTTTTAGGCAAGGTGATGCATATTGCTCAACCACAAAAAAATAATATAGCATGCTTTTTTAACTCTACGTTTTAATCATTCACCTTGCATATCTTAAATGACAAGAAGCTGAAGTTGGCTTAACAAGGTTTCTTACATATCTTTCACGATAGTTAAGCATGCATGAGACGTTTGCAAACTTCTCAGCTGAATCACTTAGTGAGCTGCCTCTTCGAATTATTATCAATGTTTTTCGCAACTGAAATTCTATGCAGGTTCGAGCGGTGGGACCGAGTTGCATGCAGTGTGCAAGCAGCTCGAAGAGGAAGGCTTTCTGTACTGGGAGGTGGACTTGGGTTGTCCTGGAGTCACGTTAGACTGACCTCTACTCATCAATCAAAGGGAAATAACTTCAGGCCAGAGCATCGTTTACAGTGCAGTGTCAATCTAAAACCACTGTGCTTTCAAAACTTTCAAACGCAGCTTGTGCACAGAACACAACGCACAACACTGCGCGTGCACTAGTACTGCGTACCATACGTGACGGTGCAGTTCATGTAGTCCTCTGTGTAGCTTAAATGTTTCTTGGAATACTGAGTGATGCTACGTGAGGGTGTAAGGGACCAAAAATACTGCAGCGCAGAGATTTATTTCTCCGTCTCAAAGCAGGCCAGCCCTGAGGATAGTGATGCACAGAATGTGCACAAAAAAAATGAGGCACAACCTTCGCGGCCATTGCCATGCCTGCTTATTCAGCACTGACCTGATTCACGGTGTGCTCGTTCGTGCTTCACTTAACAATGCCTGAGTGGGAGCCGATTGGTATGCTTCCACAGTTTAAAAAAAAGCAATAAAAACACGGACAAGTTAGGACGCAGGATTACTAATCCGTACTGGTCATTACTTGTCGGTGTTTTTGTTGCACTGTTTCCAACTATGGAGACGGTTCCTGGTATTGTCTTTTCTTGACTTTAACGTGCCGAAAACACCAATTCAGCAGCTGCATGACGTGACTTTGCTGTCGCTTTATGACAAAGAAATATTCTCCGGTGAGGGCAACAGTCGGACGAGTACCCTAGCGCTATAAGCCGAAAATGCATCAAATGCAAGTTTGTTTAATGAAGTGCAGGCAGTTCTGAATTGCAGCAAAATGGAGAGTCAGGCTAGTTGGCTGGTATTCATAGTGTAACAGCGCATAGATGAATAACAAGGAAGATCTGAACAACACGAGCACTGAATACTCATCAGTCCTAAATACTCATCACACACACTGCCCAATCATTCTAATGTCACTTTCTGCCTAATCACGAGTGCTCATAACAATCTCCCATGCTTAACCGAACATAAAAATGACTGAACCTAAAGCTAAACACCACGCCACACTTCTGCACATGTGACCTAACAGAAGCAAGTGCTAGCATGTAGTGAGAACTAGTTTGCTAGAGTGGAAGCTTGGGCTAGTTGGCTCGTACTCATATTTGCAAGTTTTTTCAGTGCACAAACATAAGAAAAAAGGGACAAGGGCCGTATACAGAACCCTGTGCTGTTCCTTTTTTTTTTTTCCTATGTTTGCGCGCTGAAAAAATTTCTAACTATGAGAAGTAGAGTGTACATTTGTACAGAGTGGTAAGGGTGCATTTCTACTGATTCACCATGCATTTGGAAGTGGATAATTTTTAAACCATTATTGGATGCACTAGCTTCAGACAAAAGCCTTTCAGAAGTTCCACGCATTGTTTCAACGTGCCTTTTGACTTTGCCACCCTACGCCAGTTCATTTATGACATGTGCAAAGGATTGTAGGATGCATGCAGTATGCACACGCATACTGCAATATCAACCGTTTGTGAACCCTATACTGTGCATTTATTTAAGGTGTTTTCATAGTGAATAAATGAACTATGCTTTATTACCTCTCTTTTGATGTGCACTTTTTATAGTTAGTGTCAATGCCCTAAAAAGCACTGATTCATGCGCTGATCCAAGGGTTGTGAGAAATTCACAATGGGGAGGCTGCAAAATAATTTCAGCCTTGTGATGCTGTTTTATGTTCAATGAAAGGAAGAATTTTTGCATTTTGCTGTTCTTTTTTGTTTTTGATGAAGTAATTTGTATGCTCCCAGAAATTAAACCCAGACCTTGTACACTAGAGTGTAAAAGAATGTCACAAGCACTGCAGCGTGTAGCGACATACCACAAGTGCGCCTCGTATGGCCGTCACACACTCAACTTTGATGACCAATGAAATTGAATGCCAACGAAGCCCACAAACCTCATCAAACCACTTCCTCAGGTCTCTAGGTAGGTTGAATGTTTTTCTTGTGTGGTCTTGCATTTAAAAAAGCCCTGAGGCGATGAGAGATGCCACAACAGAGGGCTGCAGGTAACTTTAATTTCTTGCAGTTTTTTAAGATACACCGACAATGCACAGTACTGAAGCATTTTCCCTCCATTAAAAAACGAGTGCCACTGTTGCGATTGAACCCACATCATTAAAGTCAACAGATCAGCTCCGTAACCACTACATCACTACGGTGGCACTCAAGGTTAAGGGGAGATGACAGTTGAAGAACGCAAATTTAAAAAAAAAATTACACATTTTTCGTTTTTATTTACTTTCACAAATTTAGTTTCTCTACATTCACAAAAAAAAAAAATAAAACTGACGATTGTGAATAAACTCCAAGTAGGCCGAAATTGCTTTTAAAAAGCACAAGGTGGCTGCTAAAAATTGAAAAGAGCTCATTGTCTAGAGTCCGCTGGAAATTGTCACTTGGCTGCTTGCCATGGTATTTCGCATAAGTTCACTGAAGCCAGATGCTCAAAATAATGACGATTGCCAAGCTCTCACAATAGAAGAAATCATCTTAACAACATATCTTTCCTGCATATATGAGCTTTAACTTGTAGCTTTAAATGGCATTTTTCTCAAGATCCATTTTTGGGCAACTTCTTGAATTCCGACATCACGTTTTTGTTCCTTCTAATAGTGCCACTGGAAATTACCATTGCTCCGCGCAACGCGGACGTTGGGAACCAGAGAAACGCTAACGGCACGACTACGAGCGACGAAGCCAGCCGCAATGCACGAGCCGGCCCTGCATGCGCCCGGTACTACGCCGAACAGCCAACGCGTGTTAAGAAGAAGAGAACGAGGGTGCTCGAGGCAGAGGCTCACGAGGACTACCGCCCTTGGATCTTCTTGATCGCTGTGCGTCGTTCACTTTGGGCACAAGTTCGCCCTTGATAAACCATGTAAATGGAACATCGTTGTTGTGAGGCTGCTACATTCGTTACATTTTCTGGTGGAGGTGCGGGGTAGATGATTCCAACCCCCTATGAGAGAACGAAGTCCAAGCCCTGACCATCCGCAAGCCGTGGTGCTTACGCCGGTGCACCAACGGATCAGTCGCCGTATTCGAGGGGATTCACCAGAATTTGGACCACTTCCCCCTGTGCCAAGGGCATCAGCGATGAAAACAGGAAACGCCACCACCATGACTAGCCAAGTTGCACCATCACAGCTCATTGTCAGCCAGCCCGTCATACCAAAGGTGTTCCATGGTGACCCGTTCGAGGACGCAGAAGACTGGCTGGATCATTTCGAGAGGGTGGCGAACATAAACCAATGAAACAAAGCAGGCAAGTTGTGCAACGTATACGTCTCTTTGGAAGACGCAGCGCGAGTGTGGTACGAAAACCACGACGCATCTTTGACGTCCTGGGAAGAGTTCCGGCGGCAGCTACTGTGTACGTTTGGCAACAATGATCGCCGGGAAAAGGCAGAAGCAGCTCTTCGTGCACGGAATCAACGCAGAAATGAGACTGTCGCTATGTACATAGAAGACATGTCCCGCCTGTTCAAGCGAGCTGATCCCAACATGACTGAAGACAAGAAGGTGCGTCATCTCATGCATAGGGTAAAACTAGAGCTGTTTGCAGGACTCGTTCTCAATCCCCCGCGCACTGTTGCTGAGTTTCGGTCGGAAGCAACAACAATAGAAACGACGCTACAGCAGAGAGCCCGGCAATACAATCGTGACGTAGCCTGCACATCAGCAGGGGTCTTCTCGGCAAATGTTGTTGATAATCTTGACACTCTGCGGCAGTTCGTCCGGTCAGTTGTCAGGGAGGAACTACGCAAGCTGGAGCCACCCGCTTCACCGGAACTGTCTATTGCGGATGTTGTCCGAGAAGAAATTCGGCAGGCCATACGGGAGCCGCAAAGGAATGCACCACCGACACGACGCGCGGTAACTCATTCTGAGGTGCTCAGGCGGCCTGCTGTCCATTGTGCGCCTATCGAGACACCTGGTACTTACGCACCGACAACGCGTAGCCCGCACCATATCGTAGAGGCAACTCGCAGCGCACCTCTTCCGACAGAGACAAGACCTCGGAAAAGCGATGCATGGCGAGATGCGGAACGTAGGCCCCTGTGCTTCCACTGTGGAAAGGCTGGCCATCTTTACCGGTTTTGCCGATATCGTCAAGCTGGTCTTCGAGGATTTGAGGTCAACGCACCGTGTCCGCGAAACGGCGAAAGGCCGTCCGACATCGAGGAATACCTGTGCTCACGTCATAGCTTCGACCTGCATCGTCGTCACCAACCGCTGTCACCAACCGCTGTCACCATCCCTTCTACGTCAGCGCTCGCCAAGTCCACGTTCCTTTCCGAACGCACCTAGGCATCGTTCACCTCGTCCAAACCCAGGAAACTGAAGTGGGCGACCTGTGGAGGCGAGGCCGCTGGTGATTCGAAATACGAAGATTCTCCACTGCGACACCAGTGCGACAACGACGATGACTGTCTCCAGGTAAAGAAGTGCAGTAATGAGAAGATAACTTCAGACTTGCCGTTGGTAATTGACGGGCTAGAGCTCATGGCTTTAAACGATACCGGTGTGGATTACTCTGTGATAAGTTACGATTTAGGGAAGTGCCTCAGGAAAGTTCTGACCGAATGGAGTGGACCTCAAGTACGTACGGCAGGCGGTCACCTTATTACGCCTCTCGGCAGATGCACCGCAAGAGTTGAGATACGAGGTTTCACTTACGTTGGTGACTTTGTTGTCCTGCCCGTATGTTCGAGAGAAGTTATACTCGGAATGGATTTTCTGCAAGCAAATGGTGCCATTATTAATTTGCAGAGGTCCAGCGTATCATTTTCGACGAAACAAGCTATAAAGGTAGCTCGAGCAGACGAGCGATACACCACTCCACTGCGCATCGTCGATGATGATGTAACTGTACCGCCGCAGAGCAGTGTAATGGTTCTAGTCAGAAATGATACGTTTGGTGACTACAAAGGTGTGGCAGACAGCAACATGGATGTTTTCCTAAAAAGAGGTGTTTGTGTGGCACGAGGGATTATCCAGCTACGAAACGGGTATGCAGACGTTCTCCTGACAAATTTTGGGAATGAATTCCAGCACATAGCAAAGGGGACAGCCATAGCCTTTCTTCATAAGGTTTGTGAAGCCACAGAAATATGCAGCCTTGAAACAACGTCAACGAATATGAAACCAACATCTGATGTCTGCGACGTAATATCCGTAAATCCCAATCTTTCAGTGATCCAACGTCAAAAGCTATACGACCTTGTACGGGAATTTGGCAGCTGTTTCTCCTATAGTTCAAAGGTGCAACGCACAATCATTGAAAAACACAGGATCATAACAGACGAGACAACCAGGCCGGTACGCCAGCACCCGTACCGCGTTTCACCAAAAGAAAGGGAAGTCATCAAGAATCAAGTACAGAAGATGCTTGAAGATGATGTTATTCAACCTTCTAACAGTCCGTGGGCATCTCCTGTAGTACTTGTAAAGAAGAAGGATAACACGCCAAGGTTTTGCGTTGACTACCGGAAATTAAATGCTGTGACTAAACGGGATGTATATCCCCTCCCGCGTATTGACGACATATTAGACAGACTACGTTGTGCCAAGTTCTTTTCATTACTAGATCTGAAAAGTGGGTACTGGCAGATTGAAGTTGATGAACGTGATCGCGAGAAGACTGCTTTTGTTACCCCGGACGGACTCTATGAATTCAAGGCTCTCCCTTTTGGTCTCTGTTGTGCGCCGGCAACGTTCAAACGCATGATGGACACTGTACTTTCCGGATTGAAGTGGCAGTGTTGCTTAGTGTACCTTGACGATGTGGTCATCTTCGCCGCTACATTCGAGGAGCATATCAAGCGCCTGCGAACAGTGTTAGAAGCAATCCATTCGGCAGATTTAACCATCAAGCCAGAGAAGTGCCAATTCGGTTTCGAAGAGCTTCGATTCCTTGGGCACGTTGTCAGCGCCCGCGGTGTGCGCCCTGATCCCGAAAAGACAGCCGCCATTGCAAGGTTCCCGGTGCCAGCAGACAAAAAGTCAGTACGGAGATTCCTAGGTCTCTGTGCTTACTACCGACGATTTGTCAGAAATTTCCCGCAGATTGCAGAACCCTTGACGAAACTTACAAGAGGAACGAAGGAAGGAAAATAGAGGGAAAAAAAAGGCAAGGAGGTTAACCAGCCTATAGGCAGCCGGTTTGCTACCCTGCGCATGGGAGAGGGATGGGGGAGATGAAAGAGAGCGGAGAGGGAAGATAGAAACAGCACATTCGGCAGCACACGCGCGCACACTCAGTCATAGTCCAGTCTTGTCTTTCGCGGTGTGTGACATTGCTGTTACAGTCGCTTGTTCAAGTCGGTGTCGCGTAGGAATTTCAACAGAGCCTTCGTCGCCTTCTGTTGCAAGGTCTTCTCTCGGGCACATGACAGAATAGTGTCCACAGACATTTGGCTGTTGTCGATGCGCGCTAAAGCAGACGCCAGTGACTGTCTCTGGATTTCATACAATGGACAGTCACACAGGATGTGGTGTAGCGTCTCTTCGCAATGACAGGCATCGCAGAGAG